ATGTAGGCGTGGTTGACTCTTAACTTTTATAAAGAATATCTCTTTGGATTTGAGACTTTAGTCTTTGCAACTTTACAGATCTTCTTTATGCACCAAGAGCTTGTAACACTCCAAAGAGAAAGGAAAAATTGAAATCGCATCATATGACCCCTTTAACTCCCATGTAAATTTGAGTTTATGTACTAACCAGCTGACATGCCACTCACACTGGCCCGCCGCCAGTGAAATTCAGTTAGGTATGTTTTTAGATGCACTAGTTTTCATCGATTCGAATGAATCCAATCCAATTTCAGATTCTGAAAGTTTTGTGCATATGATCCCTTGACTTTTTCCGATTCGTTTACATGTGCATTACAGGTGCATCTCAGTAAATTAGAATGTCGTGGAAAAGTTCATTTATTTCAGTAATGGCCTATGGAAGGAAAGTTTCACAAAACTTAAATTCTCTCGCTCTGACATACACTTTAAGTAATCGGCATGTAGCATTCTCCCTCTTTCAGTGCCGCTAGTGGGTGCACAGACACTAACGCTGTCTCTGCAGTGAGAATGAACAGACTCTTTCACACCACCTCTGTTTCTCTGTGATAGCAAAACAACTTCACGGAGGGTTATTGCTAACCAAACCATGAATCAGCTCTGTAGATCCATTTCATTAACCCAATTAATTACTTTTAAACAGTCAAATCAATCCCACTCTTTCTTCTTCTCTATCCATCCATCTATTTAATCTATCCACCCATTGTTCTGTCATCAGGAAAAAAATTATTAGGCAGGACAGAGGGAGAGCTTGAAAAGGGGGAAGGGATTTATGTCATTTTTTATGTTTTGGCTGACTCAAGCACTGGGACTGCTGAGGATGGAGTTCTGCGCTCATTTGAATTGCAGAGAAAAGAGAGACGGTCATTTGCTCAAACTTTCATTTAATCCCTTTCAGAGGAGCAGGTGTTTGAAACGCTCGGAGGCTGAACACTGTCATGTTTATGTATTCACTGTGTGTGTGTAATCTCTTCCATGTTTTAATCAGTCCTTTAATGTGATTAATTTCATTGTATAATGAGCCTGTCAGGTCTAATTTCGTCCTCCTTCAGGGAAAATAAAAACATGGGATTTCTTGTTCTGTGCTGTTTGCACACACATATATTACGAAGATGAATGAAGAGTGTTGAGTTTCTAAGTCATCATTCACTCCTGTAAATCTGGAATAGACTTTACAAGTCCAAGAAACAGAATAAACAAAACAAAAATTATACAATGAGACCAATGTGTGTAAGTGTGCATAATGAGCATAAGTGTTTTGCTTGAGATTACTTGAGTGATATAACTCCAAACTGCTTCTAGACAGAATCTACACTCTAAAAAATGCTGGGTTGTTTCAACCCAATGTTGGGTCAAATATGGACTAACCCAACTGTTGGGTTAAAAAGTTAATTTAAAAATGTAACCAAAATTTAACCCAACAGTTGGGTTAGTCCATATTTGACCCAACATTGGGTTGAAACAACCCAGCATTTTTTAGAGTGTACCCGTGTTTGACAACACAAACAAGCCCTTCAATTATGTGCCACAGATCTGTCATGAGGACTAAATATTTGCTCTTGGACTTTTTAAGTCAGCTGCAATATTACAAGTTTTGCATTTCATATATATTTTCTATATAATGCTGTATAATCGCTTTAGAAACACCTTCTTTAATTCTTATTTGATATGGATCAGCTTGTGGAAATTAATTTACACTAATCCGTATAAGAATATTAACTGAATGTTTATTGTGGACTCCATAAAAAAGCTGAAACACTGTAAAAAAAAATATGTTGTGCTCCTGTAGACTTCATGAAAGTGAACACTATATTTAACATAATTATGTATAAATGCATCTTGACAGTTTGGGTTAATGACATTTAAAAATGTCTGGGGAAAAAATCGATTTGTTTTTTGTTAAGGGTATAATTATTTTGTTTGACCATCAATTAATATGGTTGCATGTTTGACCATTTGCAGGTGTTTGTACACTTTTGTTGTTGAATTCTGTCACATTTAGTAGATTATTGTCTTGAGATGTCTAGAAGAGTTTGTTCCTATTTAAAATGATCAGTTTATTGAGATGATGCAGATAAACCAATATTAATGTAATTAATTTAAATAGGAAAGTATTACAATTACATGGTTAAATGTGTATTAAATAGCCTACCATTTAGAAGTGTAACTAAATATTTGCAATGACTCATTTTGAACTATCCATCCAAGGAGCTCATTTGATCAACTGGATGAAGGAAGGTTTTGGAGTGTGAAAGAAGGATAATGAGGGGAGGGGTTCTTTGAGAGGGAGGGAGAAGGAGACAGTAGGAGGAACAGAAGTAGCCCAAGCAAATGATGTTTAGTGCGCGACTGCGCGCACCAGATCAGAGAATATACTTAGAAATAACAGACTGAGAGCATGAGAATGACATATAGACGCAGTTTCCTTTTCGATCTGAAAGCTGAACGGACAGGAGCACATTTAAATCTGTAGGTAAAATGAGCTTTGACTGACAGCACAGAATATTTTGGCAATATTCCCATTTATTTTACATAATTGCCAAACAAAGTTACAATGGTAGACGGCGGATATCTAAAACAGATTCAGTGTCAACACAGAAGGCGTGGACGTGGCACGGACAGAGCATTATATGGCTTAGTTCGTAAAGAAAACTGTGGATTAAATCGCAAAGTGAAATAGTTACTGTGAAGAAACGGAGCTGACTGACGGTAAGTGCTGCTAATCAATCAGCGCTCACATATAGAGCCCTCCGTTCGCGCGCGCCACTGTCACTCACGTGCTCCCTACAATGCTTTAATATTGTTGCATACATGCACGTATTGGATTACTATTATGTACTGCGTATTCAGTCACTTACATAAATAACGAGCCTGCTTTCCCAATGTGTAAAAATAATACAAACTAAAATGATAGCCTGTATTAAAACTATAAATATTATAGCCTACCTTTTTCAAATGACCTGAGGACCTACGAGGTGAGTCGCAAATGTTTTTCATTTGTTAACTCCAAAAATTTATCTGTTACCGTATTTTCTTACTTTATAGGCTTGAGCTTAGAAAACGATGATGAATAAATGTGTCTGACCTGCAAAAACCACAGAAAAAACTAATCACGTGGAGGCTACTTCATGATTTCTGACTTTATGATTTTTTTTAAATGTTCGTAATTTGAACAGGAGAATAATGTAATATACTACAGTAAAATAACTGTTAATTTACCTTAACTTAAATGACTGTATAATATATGTTTTTGTAGCTAAGTAAAGTCTGTCACCTGATGAACAGTAAAACGACGTTCCGAATTCCCTGTCATGCGTCACATTTAATCAAATTTTATTTAAATAGGTGTAGGTAACATTTGATATTGCTTAGTTATTTATTGCATTATGATTGTCATGTGTTTGTGTGGGTAATATTAAACACATAGTAAATGATCCTGTCGTCATGAGCTTTGTTTCATCTTATAATGTTTTAATAGTTCAAGTAGGTTGATATATTAACTGTATTATACAGCCGCCACAATGCCATCTTGAAATGCCTGAAACAATGTCATCATTATTTGTGAATTAGCAGGTGAAAATAGCAGGTTTTGACAATACATCTGGATTTTTTACATTGTAGAATATGGGCAGAATATGCATGAATGCAGCAGCCCATTAGAGTCATATACAGTACAATGTTGAAATAATTAACTTTAGAACACAATGTAATATAAAATATTTCATACAATTTTTGTGCTTCATTGTGAGGTAAACGCCCATTCAGAACTGTGGGTTTTGATGGCTGAGGTCAGCTGGAATGATCACATCCATCCATCATCCTCATGTACACACACAGGAGCCTGTGTGTTTCAGAGCCATGCTAATTGCACTTGATGTTTTTCATTTTCCTCTTAATTAAGATTCTAAAATGCTTTACAGTCTTTCATGAAAAGCTTTACTCATGAACGGCCGCTGAGTCACTGGACATTTGGTCATTGTGATTATGTGGGGCGGTCACATTTATGATTGATTGACTTATAAAGGATTTTGTGAACAGGAACTTTGGCTTAGATTAATGTATGTAGGCTTACAAATATTTTCATTTAACATTACATGCATTAAAACAGAGAACAAAAACTTAATGCAGTGACTCATTAAAATCTTCAGAGCATTGCATGCTTAATTGTTCAGGATTTAGAAAACAAAAGTAGCTATGCAATGGAACCTGTTAACGCTGCAAAACTGGAATCACAGTCGTCTTAAGTAAACATGAGTGACCTGCTTTTGTTGAATCCTCACAAAGCTTTATGAATCTGTGAACTAAGAAAAAAATTACTTGGTACAGTTAGTTGCCCACAGCTGTTCCGAATCTCAATGGTGTTTACCACAGTTGCATTAACGTAAACTGGGTTAATGCCTCCCAAAGAACTTTGAAATCATGGACAGAATCCCATTATAAGTAAACAAACACATAGCTTCTCACTACTGTGAACCTGAGAGGTTTCAAAGTCCATTGATGCCTGATGATGTATTCGCTTGTGCTTTCCTTGTGTATGACCCAGACTGTTCACAGTAAAACAGGACAATAGGGTATGGACTGTTTGCTCATATTGTTTTTGTAGTTTCAGTTATCATTTTTTCATGGTTTCAGTGTGCATTTAAAGACTGCCAGACTGCGATCTGTTTGAACAGGAATATATGTGACCAGTTAATGAGTAAATGTGGAGTAGTCAGTAGTGCATGAACATGTTTCCAAGATCTCTGTGTCTTCATTCTCACACACACCCATTCATACGTCATATATACAGTTTGTACCTACCTGAAAAGACTGATTAAAAATTAAATCTCTGCAAAAAAAAAAAAGTCTGTCAGTGTTGGAGGAATGCGGGTGCGTTCTTGGGAGGGACTCTGGGGTTCTGACCTGAGCACAGAACAGAGCTGAAACATGAAAAGACAGTGGAAATGGTTTAGAAAAACAAAAGCGCTAACAGATGAAAATAGGTGGATCACTCAGTCATCCTTCCTGTGGAGTGGCTGTTTTCCTGTGATTGACAAAGGCATCAAATAAAGGAGCAAGATGTAGTTGCAAGTGTTTTTTCCCCCTTGGAAACAGTCAGAAATACTCAATAAAAGCCACAGCTATGTAGAGTTACTTTTTTGAAAGTTTTTTCTCAAAGTTAGATATGTGCACAGTACACACATTTAAAACAACGAGTGAAAATGCTTCTATTTTGAATGATTTTCTGATATATATATATATATATACATTATACTATCAGCATCACAAAAAAAAAAAAAAGTTCTCCAGCATACTTTGATCCAAAGAGCATCTTGAACTTCATGAGAATATCTGACCATCTGTACAAACAGTTAATGTCACAAAAATTCACATCAAAAAATAAGGTGCAGAATCTGAAATATTTCTTATTAATTGTACATCATAACTTTTCTTTGTTTTTCATTTTTCGAAATCCTCAAACTTTTAAATTACTTCCAGGCTTCACTGGGAAAAATACAGATTTTAATGTGGTCTCAGACTTTCAGACCCCACAGTATGTAACTGGCAGACAGTAACTTATATTAGAAAGGAGACACACAAGTGATCTGCTGCGGTTAATTGCCACTTTCTCTTCATTCCCTTTACTCTCCTCTATCTGTCCTGCTTTTCTTTTTCAGATAGGGATGCTGCACTACACAGTAGCTTCTCCTGCTGTGAGGTTTTCCTCGGAGATGTTCATAAATTAGGGATTATTTTCCTTGCACGTCTTTTCCACCTAGTCCACTAGACATGCACGCATACAGATTCCAGTGTAGCCACATAATGCACTCTTCTGATGTGCTGACGTACATTGATAAAAAGCTTTTGCTCTGTTCTAATGTAGATCTTTGTGGAAGATTTGTGTTTTACCAGTTTCAAATGCAGTTTACAGAAATTCTACCAAAATACAGAAAACAGAAAAATGTATTTTTTGCCATATAAAATTTCTTTTTACCATTAATTTAACCAATGATATAGTATTATATAGTAGTATTTATATATATATTTTTTTTTTTTTTTACTTTTTGTACTTAAACATTTTTCATAAAAATATCTGGATTCAACATTTTGGGTTTTATATCATCTTCCTCTCTGATTGTTAAATTCACTACATTTCCAATGCGCATTTCTATGTATTCCCTCTCTTTTTCTTGTCCACATCTTCTAGTATTTTCTCTCTCATTTTTCACCATATTTATTTATTTGATGGCAAAAGGCACCTTTACAAAGAGCCGCTTATGGGTCATGGGCTCAAGTCCCAGTGCACCTCATTGCTGTGCCTTGACCGTCCTTTCCTCCTGTCATAAGACCCCGGGCCGGCACCGAGCATTTTGTGAAAGGCAGGTCTGGGAAGCATCACTTTTAAAACCCATTCAGCCAGTGAGTCATTCAGCAGATGAGATCTGAAAGGTAGTAGTTACATCTGACCATCAACTTTGTGAAGAACCAGGTTGAGTTTTGCTAAAACTGTTACTGTGCCATTGCTGGAATAGATTAGGAGATATTAAGGACAGGCTGATCTGGTAAAAGGATGATATTTACATGGAAGTCAGATATTGTGAACAGTGGTGAACAGAGAGAGGACACAAACTGAGAGAGGAGCAAAGAGCGAGAGAGATGGATGAGTGCACTGCTTCTCTCCACAGTTGGCTTTCATATCCTCCACTCTCATCTCCTCTTTTTCCACTGCCCCTTTGACCTCTAAGCAGAGCATCATGGGAAACTTTTAAATATTTTTAGTGTCCGTCTGATAACCAGCAGATGGAGGTTTGAGAGTCAGAGAACACTTCTCTGTTAGCTTTGGTGTGGTTTGGATCAGATTCTTTGATTGCTCAGAGGATGCTCATTCATAGCTCAGGAGACACTCTTAAAAAAAATAAAGGTTCCAAAATGTTGGTTTTCTCAGCAATGCCTTAAGGCTAGAATACACTACACAACTTTTAAAAACTGAACAGATCTTAAAAAAAATGGGCATCATACACTTACTGACTTTGTAATAGTTACTGATGAAAAACAGGCCATCATACACTAAACGACTGAGGATCATAGCAGAATTTAAAGTTGTTCTGATCATAACAAACTCACACATAAATGTGCACCTTGTTGCTAGGAGATGCATGACAAATGAAAACAATATGTGTTCTAAAATCGACTCAAAATATCAAACATGTTTGATATCCGATTGGATGGAATCAGAGTCTGAAGCTAAAAAATCGGAGTCTGTGAACATCATACATTATGCAATTTTCTATGAAATCTGTCAACTCAAATCTGCAGACTGGCTCTTTCTTTCGGCAACTAGCGTCAACTTATCCAAGCTGTAAATCGTCCGAAAATCAGGGCAAAAATCGTGTAGTGTATTCCAGCCTTAAAAAGAACAATTGTTGATTTAACAGTTCTTAAAAGAGACATTATTTTCTTAGTGTGAAGAACATTTTAAAAATCTGAAGAACCTTTTTCTACTATTAAGAACCTTTTGTACAATGGAAAGGTTCCATGGATGTTAAAGGTCCTTCATAGAACCATATATGCCAACAAACAAACTTTATTTTTAAGATTGCATATGTAAAATATTTAGGAGAAATAAAACCTTTTGATTTTTGAAATACAGTAAGAGTTTAGAGCTATAAAATTCAAAGCTCACATAACTTAGTCTTCAAAGATTTTTTTTTAAATGTTCAGTCCCAATATGGGAAAAATTACAACGAGTAGTTATGAAGAATAAGTAAAAATGGAGAATGTTACGGTGGCCAAGAAGTGCTAAACAAATCACAATTCTGAAAACAAAAGCATTTGCGTTTGTAATTTGTTATTTTGTTTTCAGAATTGTGATTTGTTTAGCACTTCTCGGCCACCGTAGGTACGTAGTATAAATACTTTCACAATTAATAATATTAACATTACATTAAGGAAAAATGCACAAACATATTTCAGGTAAAAATATGGGATCATAAAAAAAAAAAAAAACCTTGTACTTCTGACCTGGAGCATAATTTTCACATATTACCTTTTTTTTTTATTTTATAAGCTGGCCAAAACAAAAATCTTCACACAAATGGCCACACCGTAAACTTTTTTTTTTTTAAGTTGTTAATAAAACAAAGATTATTGGAGTATGTTTTAGAAGAAAATACTTTGTGTGTCTGTTTCTTTGTAATTGTTTGTAAAATTTACTAGCAATATCTGAATGATTTTTTTTTTTCAAAGAAAAACCTACACCATTTTTTTTTCAGTGCAGCCAATGTTTTATGAGTTATTAAAGTCTTTTATTAAAGTTATTAAAGTTTGTTCGCAGACCCTGGTATCTTGACAAATCTGACCACATTGTGTGAAATTATTGCAATTTCCTTTCAAATCTTAGAGAAGACGCATGTGATATTTCTGGACTACTGAGATGGAGATTCTATTTGCTCTCTGTGTAATCTCAACATGAGAAACGAAAGAGATATGAATCGAATTTTTCTGCTTTTATCTTGCGGGAAGACTCGGTTCAGCGCTTCATGCACACATGCCCAGCAGGGGCACATCACAGAGCCACTTTTAGCCTCCTGTCCTGATGAATAGCCAATGCTAGCACACATGCCTCAGACACATTTGAAGACCCAGAGCGTGTGAGGAGGCTCTTTCTGTAATTTCCCAGGAGGTATCAAAGTAGGTAATGGAAAGTAGTTGGGACATGCAAAGAGTGCGAACAGACAACAAACTGGACAGCAAAAGCAACTGAGGGGCTTTCCGCAGGCAACGTCAAAGGAAGACCTTGCCAGGCTTTGAGTTACAATTGGAAGGATTTCATTAGGACTCTGTAACCAGCACAGCTCTGAAGTGGTTATTTCTGTAGTGAATTGATTATGCAAATGCAAGATGAAAACCACCACTCCAGATGGATGGAGAGAGTGAGAGCAGGAAGAGTGAGTGAGTGAGTGAGAATGAATGAACTGAATGAAATATTGCAGGTCTCAAAGACTTGGATTTGAATCAAGAGTTAATTTTAAAACGAACCGCATTCGAAAGCTTTCTGGTTCCATTCTTGCTAATCCTCCATAAATCATAAACACATTGACAGGAATACACTCATGGAAGGCTAAACAGCACGTATGAGCTAACAAACACCAGAAGAATCAAAGAAAATATCAGAGAAAACAAACACAAAGGATGACCACAAATCAATGCCTTGTTTTCCAGTGACAACAACGTACTTTTAAATGTTCAAATGATTTACACTACCATTCAGAAGTTTCCGTTTTTAAAAGTCTCTTATGCTCACCAAGGCATTTGATCACACAGTAAAAACAGCAATATTGTGAAATATGACTACAATTTAAAATAACCATTTTCT